CCCAGCCCTGACTGTCCTCCCTCCCAGCCTCCCCCTGTACCCCAACCCTAACTGCCCTCTCTCCCAGCCCCTCCTGTACCCCAGCCCTGACTGCCCTCCCTCCCAGCCTCCCCATCAGTTGGCAAGCACTCACTGTGGCCCTTATCCCCATCGTCCCCCAGCAATGACGGCTCCTTCCATATTTCCTACTCCTGCAACGTGCTCATCTACCCATCAGGCTATGTGTGCTGGCTGCCGCCCGCCATTTTCCGCTCCTCCTGCCCCATCTCTGTCACCTACTTCCCCTTCGACTGGCAGAATTGTTCCCTCAAGTTCAGGTGTGCCCATTTCTCCAGCCACCCTAAGCAGGGCACCCAGCCTGACCGAGGGGGGTGAGGGTCCAGCTCCATCCTGATTAGAGTCCCTTTCCCCAAGTGACCTTTTCTAACCCTGAGCTCCCCTTACTGGCTCCCACTGCCCTCCCCCCGGCAGTGGTTCCATTAGTGGCTAGGTGCCAACCTCTGCCCACTGCCCTGCCCAGCTCACTCAAGTACACGGCCAAGGAGATCACCCTGAGTCTGAAACAGGAGACAGATGAAAAGAACCGGACCTACCTCGTGGAGTGGATCATCATCGACCCAGAGGGCTTCACAGGTGTGAGAACGGACACCCCCAGATAGGCACACACCCCAGTTTTTCCTAGGAAGGCAGGCTTACCAACTGAGATCAGTTGGCTGTCATGTCCATCTGCTCCGACCTATTTTCAGTTCATGATACCTTTCAGTTAAAACATACTAGGAGAGAGATGGGGCAGAGACGAGGACATGGAGAGAGGGAGCTGAGGACTCTTGTTGTTGTTGTTGTTGTTGTTGTTATGTGCCTTGGGGTCGGTTCCAACTCATAGCGACCCTGTGCAGGGTTTCTGAGGCTGTTGGACTCATGGAAAGAGAGGGTCTGGGTGCTGGCGGCCAGGAGGCAGGCTTGCAGAATGTGCCCTTTAGTTGTTTAAATTATTATATATTCCTGAGTGTTTTTCTGTAATCCCCCCCCCCCAAAAAAAAAACACAAAAAAACAAAGCAGGGAATGGAAGCAAACACTGTTGAATGATGTTATACGGAGGAGATTGTAATCATTGCAATGAAACCATGGTGTAAAGCCGATGTTTTCCCATGTAAACGATCATTCAATTCACAATAAAACCTTAAAAAAAACATACTAGGAGATAGATGCTCACCCCTAGATAGACAGGTCCCCCTATAAGACACCCCCCTGGATAGATAGCCCTCCCTGATTCACACACTCCTATGGGAAGACATGCCACTAGATAGAACCGCCACAGACAGACACACTTCCAGATGATAGACACACATACACGGTTAGACATCTCCTCCCTGATATACACACCCCTGTGTGGATAGAAACCCCACATGTACCCCTACCATGAGTGCACCTCCCCCCACACACACACAGATATACTCAGGACACATAGTGTGCTCACACACACACAGGTAAACAGAACCACAGACAGACACAGACAACAAACACACTGAGCCAGAGAGAAACACAAACCCACACACATCCCAACACACGAAGGCACACACAAATTCAGCATGTGGAAGGAAGGAAGCCTGGCAGGGCCAGACCAGTGTCCGTGTCCCACCCTGCTCCACTCAGGCTAAAATCCTCTCTTCTGAGTCTGGGAAGGAGGACTAGGTGTGGATGTGGTGGACAGATGTGTGACTAGTCTTTTCCTGTCTCCTGGAGAGCCCAGCAGTGCCATCCCCTCCCACACCTCTCACCCCATCTGTGACCTAGCTCAGACCTAGATCAGAAAAGACCCACATCCTGCTGGTCCCACGGCCGGCACATCATGAGGAAGGGGTTTCCTTTCACTGTATCATCCTGGGACCCCAGTCAAGGAGGATGACCTGCTTCACAATGACATGGCTTTTCCTAGGAAGACAAACGTAACAACTGAGATCATTTGTTTGACTGTTTTTGTCATCTGCACAGACCTAGTTTTCGTTCATGATACCTTTGAGTCTAAAGACTCACTAATTGAACCCTTTGTGGTCTCAGTTCCATTCTTTCCCAGGAGAGAAAAGTCACAGCCGGCGAAGCCCCCTTCTATTTGAACCCTCCACTTTCTCTCCTAAGGGCCCCACCCCCTCAGGTCTTCCTTGCCCTAACAACCACCAGTGCCCTCTTTGTGCTGCCTACAGAGAATGGGGAGTGGGAGATTGTGCACCGGCCAGCTAGGATCAATCGAGACCCCAGTGTCCCGCTGGACAACCGAAACCGCCAGGACATCACCTTCTACCTCATCATCCGCCGCAAACCGCTTTTCTACATCATCAACATCTTGGTGCCATGTGTGCTCATCTCCTTCATGGTCAACCTGGTCTTCTACCTGCCAGCGGACAGTGAGACTCAGTGCCTTCACCCATCCCAGGCTCACCTGAGCGTCAGCCACCCAGCCCTGTCTTCCACTTCCTTCTGGGAGTCACACAGGACCACCACCCCTGGGGTTCCCTGGGGCCCATAGACGTCTGTGGGGAGACACCATGACCTTGTCTCCTGAGGTCTCCATCCCTCCTGGGCTACTTTGCTTCTCATGAGGAGTTTCCCAAGGACCCTGGGGAGAGCCACCACTCTGGCCATGGGCCGGGCTCCTAGTAGGCTGTTAAACCAATGAGTGAATAATAGTCTTTCTGAAGCCAGGGGATCTTGGGGTCTGCAATCTTGTTAACTTGGCTCCAGAAAGAAACACTTTAATAATAGTTTCAGATTATGAATTAGGAGCAGCTCACAGGAAGTCCCAGGGACAGATATGGACACTGTAGGCCTAGGAGGGTGACTGAAGGGGGCAGGCTTTCTGGAAGGAGTTGTACCAGAGCAGGGGCGATGTTTGCAGAGGAATTGGCTGGGGCATTCTGCTTCTGGGAGCTGAGCACAGTGCGAAGGGCCAGAGCCTTTCACACAGGCAGTGAGGCCGGTTGACCTGGACTTCAGGAGGGAGTCTCTGGTATCCAGAGGACGGTGGCATGGGCCAGGGGATCCTGACAGCTAGGGTCATGACCCAGATGAGCGTTCAACAAGCACTTGCTCACCTCAGCCTCACAACAGCCTTGTGAGGAGTCATTTGCCAGCTCCACATTTAACAGACACAGAGAGGTCAGGTTACTTGTCCAAGATCGCCCAGCTGGTAAATGGTTCAGCCAGGATTGAAACCCAGGCCTCTGACTTCATGTTGTGCTTCTGACCCATGTCGTTAAGTGCCATGGAGATGGTGCCAACTGTGTGCCACCTTAGCACAGGAAGACTGGTGCATAGTAGAGGGAGGGGCCGCAGTGGGTCAGAGGTCTTAACTCAGTCTGGCTCCCCCCCAGGTGGTGAGAAGACATCGGTGGCCATCTCAGTGTTGTTGGCACAGTCTGTCTTCCTGCTGCTCATCTCCAAGAGGCTGCCCGCCTCATCCATGGCCATCCCACTCATTGGCAAGTGCGTGCAGACCAATCTTACCCAGCCAGTGTGGGTGCACCACCTCTCCTGACCCTGCCCTTTCCTCACCTCTGCCCTTACCCTGCCCACCACGCAGGCTTCATCCAGCCCTGGCTACGGCCCCCACTCCACTTCTGTCCCACATGCCCCTCACTGCCTAAAGGAGCCGGGCCATGGTCCTGCCTCTCCTAACATGCCCCCGCCCACCGACAAAACCCCGCCCATCCTCCAGGCCCCGCCCCACCTGGCTTGGCCCCGCCCAATCAGTGTAACTTGGCCTCCTGGCCTGGCCCCGCCCCCTGACTACCTGGCTGGGGCTCCAGGCTGAGTGTGCGCCCACAGGTTCCTGCTCTTTGGCATGGTGCTGGTGGCTATGGTCGTGGTAATCTGTGTCATCGTGCTCAACATCCACTTCCGAACGCCCAGTACCCACGTGCTGTCCGAGGGCGTCAAGAAGGTGAAAGCTCCGATACAATACCTAGTACAAGCAAAGGTCTGGAGACCAAGGTTACCACGGGCGGAGCAGGAGAGGAAGAGAACAGGGCAGCCGTGGTTTAGGAAGCGTTGAGTTTTTATTTATGGTGATGGGTAATTTGGCAGTAGGATATCGATATCGGTAATGGTTGCACAACATGACTGATGTCTTTGAGGTCACTAAACTGTATACTTGAAAAACATTCAGCTCAAAAAGGTGAGGGGCAATAGTCCAAACTGGGAGTTGTCTAAATGACCATGTAGAGGGGAGCAGGCAGAGGACCCCGGTGCGCTCAGAGTGGAATACCACTCAGTGGCTACTGATGCACTAACGTGGTGTCATGTGAATGAAATCTCACACAACGTTGCCTGAAGGAGGCTAAAATCAGGAACGGTTGCACAGATTCATTTTTATCAAGTTCAAGAGCAGGCAAACCCAGTCTTTGATGGGGGGAGGTGGTTACCTCTAGGGATAGGTAGGAATTGATGGGGGGCATCTCTTGACTGGATAGTATGAGGGAACCCTTTTGGGATAATGTTCTCTATCTTACAGAGTTACATACATCTGTCAGTATTCATCTAGCCATACTCTTAAGGTTTGCTCCTGGTGTGGTGCTGTAGGATAAGCACTGGACTGCTGATCACAGACAGAGTTGGCAGTTCAAACCCATCAACTGTTCTTGGGAAACCTATACAGGGTCGCCATGAATTAGAGACGACTTGGCAACATTTCACAACAACAACATGGTGTAAACAAACCAAATCCACTGCCTTCCAGTTGATTCCAAGTCATAGGGACACTGTTTCCTCAGGTTTCCAAGGCTGTAAATCCTTACAGGAGCACATTGCTATATCTTGCTCCCTTGGCGAATAGGCTTGTGTGTTTGAATGGTAACCTTATGGTTAGCAGCCAGCCCAACGTTTAACCCACTGCGCCACCGAAGTCCCTTATGTTTGTTATATCTCAGTTAAAAATAAGATTGGGGTGCAGGGTGCTCAGGAAGGGGAGTCCCTTACCTCTCAACCACCCAGGGCCTTTGCTTCAGGGACAGCTGGTTGTTGATGGCGACTTAGCACCTTTGAGTGTCTTGAAGGATTGGGGAGGGGTTGTTCAGCATCTGGAGCATTTTCTTTCAAGATATAATGCTTTTTTTTTTTTTTTTTCCCGATCTTTTGTTTTGCTCTGTTGAGAATATGCAGAGCAAAGCGTACACTAATTCAAGTATTTCTACATGTACTTACTCAGTGACATCAATTACATTCTTTGAGTTGTGTGACCACCTTTTCTGAGTTGTCCTTCCCCCATTAACATAAGCTTACTGCCCTTAAGCTCCTCTCCAATCTTTCCAGTTGCTCTTGTCAGTTGGATCCTATATAGATAGTTCTTAAAAGAACACATTGCTCAACACACACATTTTTTTACTAAACAAGATAATTGCTTGATTTTAAGAAAACTTCAAGGGAATTATTTGTGGCTTTCAGGTTTAAAGATTATCTCAGGGCGGTAGCTTCAGCTGACATGGCTCCAAAAAGTCTGGAGCCCATGAGAATTTGAAATTCTGTTCTGCATTCCACCCCAACTCTTGACCAGGATTCTTCTATAGAATCTTTGATCGAATGGTAGCCAGATAACATCCGGGTCTTCTGGTCTCGTGGCAAAGGAGGCAGTTGTTTCTGGAGTCCATTAACTAGTCACTCCCTGTTGTTATGTGTCGTCAAGTCAGTTCTGATTTCTGGTGGTGGTGGCTGAGTGGCTGGTGGGTTTGAACCGCCAACCTTGTGGTTAGCAGTCCATCACCGATCGATCCTACCAGGACTTACTCCATGCCATCCGCCTATTCTTGACTCCCCTATTGCTCCAGGTAAATAGAGACCAATCCTTGTGACTTGAGTGACTGCTTGCAAACTTTTAAGATTCCAGGCACTATGCGAGGAACTAGGAGGTACTGGACAAGTTCTAAACACACTATTAGGTCAGTTATACAATTCCGTTTTAATGAATGACTTTTGTGCTGTGCTGTGTTCAATGCAGAAAAATTGGAAGCAACTTAAAGTGTCCATCCATAGAGGATCAGTAAATTAATGATGGAGAGAGTCCATCCGGGGAGGGCATTGTGACAGTACAGCCAGAAATGGAGACGCAGCTGTTAGGTATGAACTCAGGTTGTGTGGAGGGAACCCCACATTCTTATGTCACCCTGACCCACCACAGCTCTTCCTGGAGACCCTGCCTGAACTCCTGCACATGTCTCGTCCCATGGAGGATGGGCCCAGCCCCGGGGCCCTAGTCCGCAGGAGTAGCTCCCTGGGCTACATCTCCAAGGCGGAGGAGTACTTCTTGCTCAAGTCCCGAAGCGATCTCATGTTCGAGAAGCAGTCAGAGCGGCACGGACTGGCCCGGCGCCTCACCACCGCATGTGGGTCCCAGTGGCCTTTGGGGCTTGGCTTGTCCATGGGAGGTGGGAGGCAGGGCTGGCTTCACGTTCACCTCTGGCCTGGTGTCCACAGGCCAACCCCCACCAGGCTCTGAGCAGACTCAGCAGGAACTCTTCAATGAGCTGAAGCCAGCTGTGGATGGGGCCAACTTCATCGTCAACCACATGAGGGACCAGAACAGTTACAACGAGGTGAGTGCTACAGGGCTGCCATGGACAGGTGTTCAAGTGGTGCACTGCCCAAGTATGTCCTGTTTGCAGAGTGCACGGTTCCCCTTAGAGATACTCATATATGTGCATATATGCACGAGGGGGCTTCAAAAGGTCTGTGGGGAAATTCCATTCTTTTTTCAATTCCATTTTTCAACAAACTTTTTGAAGCCTCTTCTTACATATATATGTTGTTGTTGTGTATGATGTCAAGTTGATTCTAACTCATAGTGACTGTATAGGATTTCCAAGAGCAGCTGGTGGGTTTAAACTACTACCTTTGTGGTTAACAGTCCAGTGTTTACCCTACAGTGCCACACCAAGGCAGATAGGTAGATAGATGGATGATAGATAGATAGATAGATAGATAGATAGATAGATAGATAGATAGATAGATAGAGTAGATAGGTAGATAGATAGATAGATAGATAGATAGATAGATAGATAGATAGATAGATAGATAGATAGATAAGATAGATAGATAGAGTAGGTAGATAGATAGATAGATAGATAGATAAGATAGATAGATAGATAGATAGAGTAGATAGATAGATAGATAGATAGAGTAGATAGATAGATAGATAGATAGATAGATAGATAGATAGATAGATAGATAGATAGAGTAG